TGTCTATAATGCTGGCAAAGAGCTTTTGACAACTACAGTCTAAGGATTTTCACTGCCCTATTTAAAGAGTTTGGATGGTTAGTTGAACTAAAATGTGTGTACTGATGGTGAGCATGCAGGCTCAGAGGTCTGTGCTGTCACTAGGAGGGTCAGGTCACAGAAAAAAAAAAAGTTTGTTATCTTAATTTCATTTGAATTTTTGAATTTTCTTAAGGAATAATACACAGGCTGTGTACACATGTGACTCTGTCACAGGTACAACTTACTGGTTTTTACTGTATAGTCTCACTTTATTGTCATATTAGCACTGGCATTCGCCACTGCTGTTATATGGAAAAATGATCTCAGAAAACCATGTATTTGGGAATAAAAGCAAAAAGTCTTCCTGCCAAACTTAAGTCAAGGTACATTTTATTTTAAGTACAGAATATATTCTGTAACAGCTGGATACAGAAAACCTACTCACAGACAGAAAAAGACCATTGCTAATATACAGTTACCTACAGTAAATGAACAACACCAAGAATGTGAGTCACATAGTGTTTAAAAACAGCAGATATTAGCCAATGATTCTGCATACACTAAGCTGGTTTGTCTGTCTGTGCTTTGTCCACTCCAGTTTAGTTTCTGTTGCAGTGTCAATGTTCTGTGTTGTACCTAAAGATTACACTCCAATTTGCTCTGTGTGTTGCTGGCAGTTCAAGTTGCTCTATTAGAAATCATGTTAAAACAATATTGTCTAAGAGAGGGTCATTAATCATCAGGTTGACAAGAGATCTGGACATTGTTGACGAATAATGAGTGTGTTCCCAACCTTTTATACATTTGTGCTGCTGTTAGTCAGGTGGATAATTAGTACACCGATGATGGTACAAAAATATTCTGTACGCCATCAATTCTGGTGATTAAGTGACATTATTTAACTCAGAGGGGCTATAAAAGCCAGGAGTTTTGTTAAAGTTTTATAGTTTGAATATTTGTCTGCTACCACATGTTCAGAGCTTTGTAGCAGCAGCCTGGAAAATATTACATAACTCCCAGATATATATATAGTGTGTGTGTGTGTGTGTGTGTGTGTTTGTTTGTGTCTTGAATTCTAAACTCTGAAAATGTACATTTTAAGAAATAAAGAATATTTATTATCTGTAAGTAGATATTCTACAAAATGTAAATTAATATATATATTTATAAAAAAAACGTATGGGACAATAAATTCTCAAACAATTATCCTGCCATTAAATACAGTTATTTCTTAAACATAAATTTTGTTCCCTGTTACACATGACACAACACATTATTTATGAAGGTTCGTATCAGCTACATAAATTTATGAATGAGCTGCTGTTCTAGTCTGGCTCCCACAAATGAGAGTTAAGTGGTGTGTGGGACATAACCTTTGCTTTGGGACTGAGTAGAAGGTTACTGCAGTGTATGTGTGTGTGTGCGTGTGTGTGTGTGTGTGTGTGTGTGTGTGTGTGTGTGTGTGTGCATGGTGAGTATTGAGCAAAGGCCACTGCAATGCAACCCAACACCAGCTCTTTGTTTGAGCGGCAGCTTACCACAGACTGCAAACCAGAGTGATTCACGATTTTCCAAATGCAGTTCTTTAATAGTGTTTATAATTTTCAGTTCAAATGACCATTACAGGCTAAATTGTCATGAGCTTAAATTACTTAACTATTGATAATTAAATGAATATCATTTGTTTTCTTGTAATATTCTGTAGTTGTTATTTTTGTTTTTACTTTTTTATATTATTTATTTCTTCTTCTTCCAAACTTGAAAAACAATGCTTTTCCTTCCCCTCCCCAATGTCAGTTATTATAATTTATCCAGTTCAAAGTAGATCCTGTGTTAATGTAAAGCAGAGCCTGTGTTGCTAAATGTATTTCATCACTAACAATAAAATTCACAGGTTTAATGAGCTATAGAGTTCACAGGCTTTCCCCAGAGACAAAGAAACAACAGAATGTAAAGGTTAGGACCAGAAAAGCTCTCACCTGTTTTACACTGCTCTGACATTTAGATTTTTTTTGTGTTGTTTTACAATTTCTAAACCACCTGTTGTATATAGGGGGAAAACAACAAAGATATAAGATCTATAATTATACACAAGTTTTCATGGGGTGAAACAGTGACACTAAAAGAAGTGAAACATTGATAGTATGGCTTTTAATTTTCCCACGCTGTAGTGAGGAGTGTGTTACAATACCTACTATAAAATGTTTGCGCGTGAGGCCGCTAGTGTGTGTGTGTGTGTGTGTGTGTGTGTGTGTGTGTGTGTGTATGTGTGTGTGTACGTGCATGCAGATGTGTTTTCCATCCCTCCAGAGACATGACAATTGTTTGTTGTGATATTGTAATGAAGCCCTCAGGCCCTCTTAAACTAATCAGCCTCTCTCTCTCTCTGTGCAGATAGATCAGTTGTCAGGGCCGCGGGCAGGACAGTGCAGTGAAGCACAGCGTCTGCCTTGTGGCCTTCGCCTTGTGTGACACACATTCCCTGCCTTTCCTGCCTAACACGTTAGTATGCAGCCTGCCTATCAATCAACCAGTCAACTCTCCCATTCAGAGCTCCAGCTGCTGTTTCTTGTCGCTCTGGAGGTGATGATACATGAGAATCATTTTAAGGTAATACAGCACAGCAATGCTGCCAACAATTCTGCCAAAGGTATTAAAATGGATTTATCCAAATGTTACATGTTGCTACTTGAAATGTATCAGCCAACAATCCAAATTCGTTCTGCCGTGTTACTCTGTAAAGTTATCAAAATATTAGTCAAAACTTTTTTCGTTTTCAAAAGTTTTATAATATTCTTTGCAAGAGGAAAAATGTTAGTGTAATTTTCTTTTATTGACAATTATTTTGTCCCTGTTGCCAATCTCAGACTTTATTGCCTCTCAGGTATCCCTGAACCCTCTTTTGTACTCCTTTGTAAAGAAAACAAGAAAACATGAATCCAAGTTATACACATCATTGCAGATTTACATATTGGACTCATGATGTGAAACAAAATCAGAGAAAGTAATGAAAAGTTGAATACAAATCTATAATTTTGATAACTAAAAGCATGCTTTTGTTTTTCAGATTATCTTTTTTATGGCTATGATTTGCTATTTATGCATCATGTACTAGCTACATATTTACAGGAGATATCCATCATATTCTAAACTTTTTCAAAATTGACAAATTGTTCTTCTCTATTGAAAAATCTGAAGCTTTGCTCTTTCTTGCATTTGTCAACTCATTAAATATTAAAAGTTATTAAACTACATTCAATTTGTGAATCCGTTTACTTGCCCATATATTGAACTGTTAGTGGTGAAACACACATTTTTAAACAATTGCATACCAGGATAATATATGGAAGCAACAAATGATGTTTGATGTTTTTTGAGGAAGATATGTTATACATACACAAACACAAACACACAGAGACACAGACACCATGTCTATCCACCAACCTCCTGTTGTCTTCTAGAAGCAACTTCCTGTCCAGGATGCTGCAGGCATCTTTGGCATGTTTTACATACTTACTGCATTTGTTTCTGTGTCTGCGATTGTGAGTGCGCATGTGTGCACAAGAGACCTTGTGTGGTACATAATGGACACATTAAATATCACACATCCGCCATGGGCCATACGTCTGATCTAACACACACGCAAATACAATATGACATGTGAAAACACAAAGACATAAACACACAAAAATGAAGGCAGAGGCACAAAAGTAAAAGACCTGCTAAACGTTCCATGCAACAACGAAAATCTCTCTCTCTCTCTCTCTCTCTCTCTCTCTATATATATATATATATATATATATATATATATATATATATATATATATATAAATGTATAATTAAATGATATACCAGTAATAAAAATTAACATTTTCCTGGCATGGATCAATATTCTGATACAAAGTAAATTGTTGAGGACAGGTCAGGGCTGTATGGATTTGGCCAGTGGCTTACCAAGCTTACCAAACAGATTACCCTCCGGAGAATGAAGTGAAAGTTAAACAAAAACAACACTGGTGTAAATTAACTCTCAGTGAGGCTCTGGTTATGTGGCATGCACTGTGTGTGTGTGTGTGTGTGTGTGTGTGTGTGTGTGTGTGTGTGTGTGTGTGTGTGTGTGTGCAGTGCTCACTTGTATGCTTGTATGATGATGATGATGATGATGATGATGACCATGATGACGGTGATGATGATTGGTTAATTGTAGGCAGCTTGCATGCGCAGTGTAGAGCTTATTCTGTGTGTGTGTG